ATTTTACTGTAATATTGTAATAATAATAAATGTATTGAAAAAGTACTGAATTATAAAAGAAAGACTTTAAGAACGATTCCGGTTTTAAGTGATCGTTTAATAAATAAATGTAATTTATAAAATCCCGTTGTAGTTACCGAATGAAAACGATTAACCGGATACAGACAGCGCGTGCAACGACCTGGAGTTTTGTCATGGCTTGTCCTTCTCAACTCAGATTTTGCAGTTGCGACTAGCTAGGAAAAGAGAAGCCTCCTCTGTCAGCTAATGATAAACAAAATGCTCCTTGGTTTCCCCAAGTTTCTTTTATGAGAGAAGACGATCATATGCACGCGGCACTTTCATAATCACTATTCAATTTACAATATGGAAATTCGTATCTTTTTCATTTATAAACACTTTTTTATTCCGGATTTTAACACTGAAAATTCCTGTATGAACTGAAACTAAAAAAAAACTTTAACCCACAGGACAAACCTTACTGAGACTGCCTTAAAAAATGCTTATTCGTAGGAAAAACGTAGCAAACAGAGTTGAGTGATGTTCGTTGAAAACTAATCTTCTGTTTACATTAATTCACTGACCTAGACAAATACATCTGGATAGTGGTCACAATATTTTGGTTTTACAAAGGAAGTTGTCTCAGAAACTTTATTGTTCTTATCGAAGTTATTTTTTGAAAGCGGATCTTGGTGGTCAGCACGAAAAAAGTTGCTTAATTTACTATGTAACATAAACAACTTATGACTATCTCAAGCAGACTTAACATTAAGAGAAATTCCAAGATAGCTAGAATTTTACATCACAACGATACTTTTATTTCCATCAGGGGTTGCTGTGAGTACTTACGCGTTTTCAATATCCAGCTAAAAACTATTAGTTAATGCTCTCAACCCATAACCCCTTAGATAAAAGCAAGTAACTAGACCAGAATTATTATGGGGAAAAGGGGTAAGGGATGAAGTACTCCAAATATGGACAGCAAAGGGGGGAGGTGATAATACTCTCTAGGGAGTGATAAGCCCCCAGGATAGTGAGAGGTTATAATCCTCTCTTGGGGGTGATAATCCCCCAGAATAGTGAGAAGCTAGGTGATAATCCTCCCAAGGAGTTGAAATCCCCCAAGGTTGTGAGTGGAGGTGATAATCCCCCTTGGGTACTGGAGAGGTGGAAAGACCTCTCTAGATGTCTAATTCACCGGTTTAAGGAGTAACAAGAGTCTATGGGGCAAAGTGTGACCTGTATGGGAGCACTTCATCCCGACTTATGTTTATTAATTACCAACAACTCTCAATACAGATATCATCACTAATTTAAGCTAGAATTGCGTGCCTGCTGCCCGTCAGGAAAAACCCTCAATTATTTTGAGGGAAACCTGAACCCTCCCGAAAGCAGAGCCAGACTCTTAACATGAACCTCGAGGGAGAGAGGTTAGACGAAAATATATTAATAGAAGTTGTAAGTAAATGACAATTAAACTTTTATCAACTTAATAATCAAAATAAGGCCCAAAGTAACTAAGTGCATAAGCATGTTAGGATGCCTGGTAGAATGATTCCCCTCAGTAGAAACCTCACCTATTTTCTGCCATATCTTCTTGACAATTGCCAGTTGATTCAAAGTGTAAACAACAAAAATCAGTAGTTGGTATGATTGCAAAAAGTATAAGCAGCTTCTTAAATTTTTAAGCAAGAGAAAAGACCTCATATATAAAACCTTAAGAAAACCAGCAGAGAGAATCAAGCAGTAATAAGGGAGGGTGGGATGGGATTTTGTTCCACGAAGAGAAGAATATGAAGTGCTATTTTGCTGAGCTAGGCGCGAAAATATAGGCATCAACTGTACATGTGATAGCTGGCATCTAATTGGCTAAGTGAAACAAATACTGTGACAGGGGTCGCATGCCGGAAGTGACCCCTGAAAGGAAGTGAGCTGGTTCCATTACTGGTAAGGGCGGGTTTATGGTTATCACA